GGTATTATTACCAGCATCTGAGACTCCTATTTTCTCTGTTCTCATTCCTCTTTGCACCCTTTCCTTGCTCTCTTACCCACTTTCACCACTTCTTTTCCGAGACTCTTTCTTTGCTGCAATTTCTCTCTTCATCTCTCTACCCCCTATCCCTGCCCTGTTCACTCTCTTCACTAGTAACACTTTCATTTATATCTGTTATTCTTTTTTTCCTTAAACAATATTCTCTTTCTTCAAAGGCTGTACTTCCTTTTTCTCTAAGAACACCAAGTCGATGGAGTGCAGTTCTACTCCTGGTTCAATGGAAAACTGGCTTAGTTTGACAAGCAACGAATTAGGACTTGCTATCTGCATATGATTTAGGGGACGCTGTTTGATCCATCTGGGTCTCAGTTTTCACATCTGGAAAATAGGGATAATCGTTCCTGCCTGGATGTCAAATGAATGAGGTCACTTCATTTGGCTGTAAAGCAACAAGTACAGCTATGCATTACAATCACCTGTGGTGCTACTGAAACTCCCTAATGTCAGGTGCCACCTATGACTTCCTTATCTTATTCCAGTGTGCAACCAAATAGAGATTCACTTTTCTGTAGACTGTTTATTATATTAGACAAAATGGTGTGTATGCACTAACATCCTGTATTTTCTTTAACCCTATAGTTCAGTGAGTCTCTATAAAAAGCACAACCTCTGAAACCAGAACCAAGACACAAATGAAGATTTGGACACTGATTTTCATAGCAGTATTATTCTAAATAGCAAGAAAATGGAAACAGCCAAAATGTCCATCAACAAATGAGTGGACTGAGAAATTGTAGTACATTCACATGGTGGAATACTATGCAGTGCTCAGGAACCACAATTTTTTAAAATATTATATAACATGGGAGAGTCAGGAGAGCATTATTTGGAGTGAACCAACTCAGTCTCATAAGGATAAATAGTGCATAAGACCATTACTGTAAAAATAGAAGGATTGCTAGTAAGTGGTGTATCCAAGTCTAAAGGGGGAAGGGGAGGCAGGAGGGGCCTACAGAGGGGAGAAAATCTTGAGGTAGCAGAGTTTGGTAGGCAGAGCAAGGGGAGGAAGGAATTAAGAAAGTTCCAATGGGGACCAAAAAGGTGAGGCCAATGACAGACAAGAATCAGTAATAAAACACAATGAATGGGAATGATAATATGAAATTATTATTAGTGTGAGTGGAGAATGCATGAAACACAATGTATATGAATTTTGTAGGTAAACCAATATAAAATTAAAAAATTTAAAAATGGAAAAATAAAGCTCTACCCTAAATAATTGAGGCTGGAAGGAGGGAGATGAAATTTTAATATGCTTTGAACTATGTTGGGCTCTGTTCTAAAAGACTAACAATGATAAAATTCTCTAATCATCTAGCCATTAGACTCTAACTTTGAGCACAATTCCTCCCATAGCTTTGCACATCCTTCAGAACCAGTTACACCTCCACCAAGAGCAAAAGTTTGATGTAGCATCTTTTCTCCCCTAATGACAAGGAAAACCAAAACAAACACATCTCATTCATCTCAAAGAGAATATATAAAAGAGTGATGAAATGCAAAGGTGTTAATTACTTACCACAGATTAATTTTAAAATGATTCTTTCATCTTTTATGACTAATGAGTATAGATATATCGCATACTGCAAATCACAACTCCCGGGAAATACTGGTAATTAGAGTATCTCATAGTAATGGACATTGCTCAGTAGGTAAGAAAAACAATCAAAATGATTCTCGTTATTTAGAAGTCATTAATGATAAAGACAGAACCAAGGCTATCAGAAAAACTACAGCTCCTGATATATTAAAGCAGTGTCTGTACAAAGACTCGAGAAACCCACTCTTTAGGTAAACAAGCCAACCAACAAATCCACCCAACAGGATCGAAAAATGGCAGAATGATGTGTCAAAACTTTGCCATTTATCACTGCTGCTGGGAGTGTAAAATGGTGCAACCACTATGGAAGGTGGTTTGGTGCTTTCTCAAACAGTTGGAAATAGAAATATCATTTGATCTAGCAATTCCATTACTGGGAATATACGCTAAAGAAACCAGAACCACCATCCAAACAGATATATGCATACCCATATTTACTGCTGCATTATTTACAATAGCAAAGAGATTGGAAGCAACCCAAGTGCCCATCAAGAAATGAATGGATAGAAAGCTCTGTTATATTCATACAATGGAATACTACGCAGCACTGAAAAACAACAACATGGGTGACTCTGGAGGACATTATGCTGAGTGAAATACCTCAATCGCAAAAAGACAAATAGTGCATAGCACCTGACGTCGGCGCTTGAGGGGAGAATAGGATAAGAGTGAACAGATAATGAACATTGCATTGGAATAGATGAAGGAAAGAACTTTTTAAAAGGAATATATGATTAGGCATTATACATATGACAACAGCCCAGAATTAGAAGTACATTGCAAAGAAGATTGGGGGGTAGGGAGGAGATAGGGAAGGGAATTGTGTAACAATGACTGCATATTTTTAAAAAGTGAACTGGAAGAGGGAGAAGGGAGGGAGAGAGAGTAAGATGTGCCACCATGAATGAATGAAAATCTAACTTTTCTGTAAATTTTTGTTAAAATTGTTGTTGTTGTTATGTGCCGTCGAGTTGCTTGCGACTCATAGCGACCCTATGTACAACAGCTCTAAACTCTGCTCTGTCTGTGCCAATCTCACTGTCTCCAACACACTCATCCCGATTGCCCCAGTCACCAAATCAATCCATCTCCCAGAGGGCCTTCCTCCTGCGCCTGCCCTCCACCCTCCCAAGCATGATGTCCCTCTCCAAGGACCGGTCTCTCCTTACAACAAGACCAAAGTATGTCAGACGAACTCTCAGAATCCTTGCCTTCAAGGAGCAGCCCGGTTTAACCCTCTCCTGGATGACTCTGTTTGTTTTCTTAGCAGTCCATGGCACCCTCAGTTCTCTTCTCCAACACCAAAGCTCAAAGGCATCAATTCTCCTTCTGTCCTCCCTGGTCATTGTCCAGCTCTTTGACGCATAACAAGTGACTGCAAAGAACATGGCCTGTACCAGACACACCTTAGTCTCCAGAGACATACCGTTGCTCTTGAGTATTTTAGAGAGGTCCCTAACAGCAGACTTTCCCATCGCAATATGTCTTTTAATTTCCTGGCTGCTGGTGCCAAGAGTGTTGATTTTGGACATCAGACAATTAAAATAAAAAAATTTTACTAAAAAAAAAAGTCATCAACCACACTATGACAGTAGATATATTTACTGATTTAATTTTATAGTTAAAACCCCCCTAACTTTGCTGGTTAGTGGTAAGTGTGAGTTTGTGGAGCTCTTATTTGTTTTTTACATGTTCAGTAGCTGGTGCTGGGTCAATGGAAATGTTACATTGACACTTACTTGGTCTGGCCCTTAAAAATGTCAATGGCAGGAATGAAAATGCTTATGGGTAGCTAGCTAGACTTCTTAGCAGAGCAAACCAGTCTGTGTTTTTTGTTTCGTTTTGTTTTTACTTATTGATTGAATGGTCTGGATCTGGATAAGTCCAAATCCAAGCAGGGGAAAAGAAAAATCCTTTCTAACCCAAGGAGTCAACCCTTGTCCATTTATGATCCATCCTTTATAAAAATTAAATATTCTTTGGTAGAAACTGTTGTCATTTTGAGTCAAAGGGTCAATGCCACCTCAACTTAGACCATTATAGAAATCCATAGCCATGTTTAAGACAGATGGCACAATATAAAGTCAAAATGTTGTCTTTCAAGCAGCACGAAGAACTTGGGGCAACTGTATGAAATGGATAATTCAAAATATAGAGTCTAAAGAAAATGGTCAGTCTTTCTCCCAGTCTTTGAGCTTTCTGGAAGATTCTATGTCCACTGCCATTTCTGCTGTAGTTTTTCTGTCCACAGTTTAGAGAGACTAAAGAGACAAAGTGCCACTTCTCACAGACTCCTTGGGATGAAAAATCGTCAAGGACAAATTGGGTTTTTTGAGGATGGTCTCAGAATACAAACCTCTCGACAATATACTGTTTTCAGAAGAGGAGTCCTCTACTGTTGCAGCAATTTAGGTGAAGGCGAGCAATTGACTCTCAGAGACTAGAAACTTTCCAATGTTCATGGACATTTCCCCCTGACTTTCTGTAATGTTTATAGATATTTACCCTCAATTACTTTCCATAAGGCCATATAACATTTGCTCCACAAAACCAAATTCTAAGAAATCAAATTTTAACAAGTATTTTTCTTTTGCCACAGACAAGGACACACCTCATGATGAGCCTACATCTATCAATCGGCGTTCGGTTCACTTGCCTGGGATTTAGTGATTGTCAAAGACCCGGCTGCCTAGCTTCCAACCTGGGCTCAATCATACTGGGCTAGAGTCAACCATACTTGGTGACTTCAAACCTATTTCACTAATTTATCACCATTAAGAATACCCCACTTAGGCTAGGAAAGAAAGCAAAGTAGCTCCTGGACCTTTTGAAAAACACAGTATGTATGCTCTTCTCGTGAAACTGCAAAAATCACAGGAACACAACAATCCCAAATCCTAGCCAATTATAGTGTGAGGAACTTTGGATGCATTTAAGCACAATCCTTGCAGTGAACTCTTCTCTTTACAGATATGCCAGCAACAATTCCTGTCTTGACCATCTCCAGCAAACTTTCTAAATGATGCAGGTCCGGTACAATGAATAATATAGTTATCCTACTCTTTAGTCAAAACTGTTTTACTATGGACCCCGATGACCACTCCACTCAGTGACTTGTCACTCAGAGATGGCGGCTGCCACAAGTCACATAATACAGGAGGTACAGGAGTCAAGCTGCTTGACTCATGCACTCAAAAGGCCCGCGAGTCCCTAATACGTATGCCTAAGTATGGACGCTTATTCTCCTCGGAGTAAAGGATCAAAGACAGAGAGGTTCATAAAGCCAAGGGTTTACAGTTCATGCCATCTTTCGACCTACTTGATGAAGCACTCTCGCCCATCTCGATTTGCCGTCATCTCCCATCCATAGGGCGGCACCTGGTTCAAGGCCCAGGTTCCTGAGGGAGGTGGCCAGCCTGAAGACTTTGTCCTGTGGCTGGAAAAGAAACACAAAAAACGCATTATTGTATCGGACCCTTAAACATCTCCCCTAAAACAAACTCTTGGAAGGGGAACACAACTTGCTCCTCAAAACTGAGGGCTAGATTCTTTATAGTCTAAATGAACTGACAACACATTTTCTTGTAGTTGCCTTTCCAAGAGAAAAGAAAAGGGGAAACAACCAGCATTACATTTAGAAAGAATATACTAGGCAGTTTCTAGGATTTTTCCTATATGCTGCCTCACTTAGCCAGTGGCCTAGTGGGCAAGAAGCTGCACTGCAACCCCGAAGGCACGCAGTTCGAGGCCACCAGCTGGTTCACGTGAGAAGGAAGAGCAATCTCCTCCTCTGCAACCCTACTGGAGGGTCAGCTAGGAGTTGTTTCCAACTCTATAATACACAACAAAAACAACAACAACAGGGTAAATACACTCACAAACAAGAGAATAAAGAGCAGTGCAACGGGGCTAGACATTTTTCCTGAGAGACAGGCAATTTTGAACACTAGTTCTGCCTGCTTTCCATGATACTAGGTATTCCCAAGACCACACATCCCAAGGAGGGCACATAAAAATATTTGGCACGACAATACAAACACACAGGTGGCTTTGTTAATAGCTCTTAGGCAGCAATAACCCTCAGTCTCAGCTTCTTCGATTTTTCTGACCCAAACACAAACTTTAAGGCTCATATTAACCATGGCTGGGCAGCACTAGTCGCTTGTTCCCATAGAAAGTTGTGATACTAACCCAAAGGGGATGCCTCTCTGGTGGTTCAAATCCATCAGTGGATATAACCTTTATATCTTTATATTATAATCTTTAGTTAAATCTGCAATTTAAGGTGTAAAACCCCCTACACATCAGCTTTGTACAAATCTTAGTCCATATTTTACAACTGACTTGGCAACAAAGTGAAAGGACAGGCTATGAAGGGGAAAAGGCCTCATCACAGTCAACCGGGGCGGACATTACGGCACAATGAGAGTCCATAATTAAGAGGATCGATCCCAGCTTCTGGAACTTCACTTGGATGCCGGCCACTCTGCCTGAGAAATTCTGCCCCTCCCTCACCCACACCCCACAACCCTTCAGAAGATTGTTCGGCTCTAACTTCCTTTCCAATCTCCCACACCCTTGATAACACAGAGCGCGCCAGAGTGTTCTCAGTGTTCATACAAACCTGACAAATGGAGAATGCCACCAGGGGGTAGTCCTTGCCCTTTGACTATTAAAAGAAAAGACACAGCAACGTATATTGTTCCTCTTTTTTCACGCAGAAGACAGCAGTGGCAATTTTCTCGGGTGGTTTTGTAAAAAGATCTGTACTGCCTCCTGGCAGGGAAAGAATCCATGAATTGGCCACCCTGAGTTATGCCAAGAAACCACCAATCTTTGACACTAAGGCAGAATGCCTTTGTAATATAATTTCTGAGGTATGAGCAAAGAAACAAGCTCTTAGGTGTATGAACACTGAATATGCTGTTATTAACAAAGTTTTCCTAAACAACAGTCCAACAAGAGGTGACATGAAGAATATTCTGTTAAGTGACAGGAAGCCTATGTGATAACGTGACATCTTCTCCTAGACCACTACATCATGTCCTGTATCAGGACGTTAATCTTGACAGGAGGGGACTAATTTTTTTCCAAACCCAAACCTTCCTTGATTTCTTGTCTTTCAATCTCAGCCCCCTTCCCCCACCCAAGTCTTAATCACTGAAGGCAAGGTACAGGCTGGCTAATATAATTGACATGTAAAAGACAGCATCACAATAACAAGCCGGAGGAAGCCTGCAGTTCATTATAAGCGCCATTCTGTCCTGTACAGCATGTTCAGGATGCAGCAAACAACAGTTCAGCAAGACTTTATTTTCAAAGAAAGTCTTTTGGTCATAAAACACCAAATGAAATGCAAACACTGGGGGGGGGGGAAATGCATGTATGTTGAGTTACTCTAGGGCAAAGGGCATCAGCTGATGTCAAACAATTCACTGAGTCACTAAAATCAAACATGGCCTGTATGTGGGTTGACAGAAAAGACATGACGCCGACACGGCTTAGTAGAAGTTACCAAATTTACAGTCCAAGTGCAAAAAGAATATACACATCACTCTTTGTAAGGTATCTAACCATAGGGACAGCCAATGATGGCTCAGGAGTCAAACCCTTGCCTTCCATTTGGGAGACCTGGGTTTGATTCCCAGCCACTGCATCTCATGGGTCAAAGGAGGTGTGCATATTGTTCTAAATGATGCTTGCTTTAACCTTTAAAAAAAAAAGACTGGAGTAGAGGGAATTCCTCTAGAAAAAGTTGGATATAGAATTGAAGAAATAGTAAGGATTTAAAGTATTAGCCTGAGCGAAATAGATTTGTAAAAGAACCTTCTATTTAATAAGCATGTTCAGGGGAATGTTAAAAACAAATCAAAACAAAACAAAAAGGTTAGAACGGTTTGGTGATCTATTTCTGAAAACCCTAAACAACAATCCGACCCTCCCCTAAAGATGGGGATGGTTCAGGAGTAGGGCTGCATTTTGTTCTACTGTTCGTGCGGTTACCATGAGGGGTCTGACTCCATGGCAACCACCCACAACGAGAGCAGTCTTGGGGGAAATCCAGACCCTACACGTAACTGTGGACAAATGTGGGCCCCACGTCTATGTGATGGTAGTATTGATGGTCTAATGCCAACACCATCCAGCTTGGGAAGCTGGTGGTTTACTCTCTGCTTACTGAGAAGATACTCCGGGGATTTCTCTTCCCCTCTCCCACCTCTGTCCACTTCTGCCCACCACTTTCTACTACCTCCAGATGCCATGGCTGAGATCCCCCTCTGCCATAGAAATTCTTTCTGCTTCCTCTAGAGCCCTGCTATGATGACACAAAACTAGGAACTGGACATCAGCTCCCAGCTTTAGGCAGTGATGCCAACCACAGGTTCCTATGAGAGAGGCAAGGTCTTTACTTCCCCCATTTCACAGTTCATTCTGACACCCTCCCAGGGGCTGGGGCCTCTTTGTACTTTTTATGGCCCCTCCCTTTTCAATGAACTCTTACTTTCTTGTCCAAGGACCTATTAGTTAGTCCCTAAATTCCCCTTGATCTGCTCTATGGAGCCCAAAGCCTTTCTAATAAAGAGAACCCCCACAGTTTAACTTCGCTGTCTCGCTTGGCTGACAAGGGTATGTAGGTTTACCCCACTGAGATCATTTGTAAGAGCATCCTCCAGTTTAGGGTGGCCACTTTTAGCAGCTAAAAATAGAGAATGCCCAGTTCAATGTGAATTTTAGAGAAATTAGACACACACCCCTCCACACAAACCCAAACCAAATCCAGCACTGTCAAGTCTATTTCAACTTAGAGTGCCCCATTAAGGCAAAGTAGAACAGCCCCATACGATGTCCGTGGCCTCAGTCTTCACAGAAGCAGATTGTCACATCTTTTCAAAAGCTACTAACCTGGATAGTATCAGAGTGCTTAATTACTGTGCCACCAGGGCTCCATCCAAAAAATGACAGCCTGGGAAATCCTATAGGGTAGAGATCCTCTGTCCTCTAGGTTTTCTAGGAAGTCAACTCTAAGACATTCAACAACAGCACCACAAATCCACTCTCCGAATAGAAAGAGGGCAAAGGCTGAGACATCTACTCTTTTTCAGTCTGTCGAGAGTCAATCAGTTACATCATCTTTGCACAGATCAGTAGTCGAGTTTCTTAGCTGATGCAAAGAAATGAACACGCTCAGTTGCTAACAGAAAGGTTGGAAGTTCCAGACCCCTCAGAGGATCTCTGAAGAAAGTGTGGCGATCTGTTTCGGAAAATTCACCCACTGACGCGTGTATGCAGCACAGTTCTGCTCTGACACAGATGGGGTCATCATGATCTGGTGACAATTCAACAGCACCTGAGTGAATGGACCTTGGTAAGATCAGCCCCTCTCAAGGCAGAGGGTAACAGCGTTCTCCCGGGAGCCACCAATCCCAGCTGTGTGTGACCCTGGCCCAAGCCTCACTGCTCAGGGTCCACTTCTTTTTGCCCTGCCTGAGATCCCGAGGTTCCTTGCAGCGTTGGCTATCTGTGAATTCTATCTGAGATCATGGCTGTGTGAACCACTTTCAAACACTTAGCTCAGCCTTAAAAATAGCGACCTACATTGACAGTGCTATTTAAGTCACTCCAGAAACTCCCAACATCTGACTGAACTGAACTGGTTTGCAACTTTGGGCTCCTCCTAGCTATTGTTTGCAGCAGACTGAAATTGTCCTGGACAAAAAAAGATTTTCATCCTTTGTAAGATGTGAGAGCAGCTCTGAATGCTACAGGAAATTTGATGGAAGCAATGCTCGGTTTCCTTTCGTGATCTAAGCCCTAGATCAAACCCTGATGGCAAATATGCCCTAGGAAAAGGTGGGCTCTTAGAAAGGATGTGCAGGCTTTTATGGACACTTGTGATTCTTAAGAAATCTATCTCTGTATCAGAAAAGGAGCTGCTGAATGGGAGAAGCAATATGAGGTCAGGTTCCAAAATTTCAAGACCGACACATAATCCCCCAATGACGTCACTCACTAGAATGCGCTTCTAAGTTACCTAATTCCCTGTACTTGATTTTCATCATCTGTAAAATGGAGTTTCTTTAGCTCACTGGTTCTCAAAGTGGGGACAGAGGTTTGGTGCCCTGGGGACACTTGACAATGTGTGAAATGATTAGGTTGCTATGACAGGGAGGTACTGCTGACATTGATTGGGGAGAGGTGAAGACATCAATAAATACCCTATAAAAACAATGCAAATACCTGTTGTACTCGAGCTCATTCTGACTCATAGTGGCTCTTTTTCTCCCCGACACCTTCGCATTTCTCACAAATTACATTTCTCTGGAGGGCCAATTTCTTTGTGACTCCATTATATAAATCTTCAAGAGTTACAGACAACTAATTTTTTTTTAATTTCTCAAAGCTATTATTTATTCTGTACAAAGTTCTGCTGTAAGA